GTTAGTCTGTATTTCTACCTCGTTTATAATAGTAGCTTATAAATTCTAGGAGCTTGATGATAAAAGTTTAGTTTTTAATTTAATTATATATTTCTTTTTCTTAAGAAAAAGAAAACCGTATGAATTGTTATTATTGACATTTGAACCACATCACTTCCTTTCAAGTGAGGAAAGTGTCTTTTGCAACCTTAAACTGAAACTTCCAGAAACTTCCGTGTATGCTTGTGCCTGGAGTTTGGTTCCCAGCCGCAGGAAGCCATTTCATTTTGCCAGAAGGCAATATCAATTTGCAAGTCACGTGTGATGCGGCTTACTGATGAAGTAAAGGGTATCATTGTACCGACCACAGCTTCTTCTACTTCTGGGTCAGAACCAGAGATCCCACTATCGTCCAATGACTCCCAGACTGACAATGCCAATGCTGCAACAGAGAAACAATCTGAGATTGAAATTCTATCTGGGCTTTTGGTCGAGCTAGAAAAGAAGGCGAGTTTAGATTATAACTTCTGCAAGTAACTGTGACAGAGAAACGGAAAAATCTAACCAATGTTTTGTGTTTGTGCAGCTTGAAGATCTGCAACAGCTGGCCTCAAACCCAAAGTCAATCCTCTCGGAGATCCTCGGGATAGGAGCGGCGAAGGCGAAAGTCGAAAAGATCGCTCCTCCACTTCCAGCGGTGTTGAACTCCTCACAGATGGGTTCAGCTAACAGCAATGGAGGATTTGACTCTCCAACAGTCTCAACTGCGCACACGAACGGCGCGGCTGGAGTGACGCACCTTGGCGTCGTTGGAAGAGGAGTCAAACGAGTATCAACAAATTCAGAGTCTGCTGACTCCTCCCACCCAACTAAGAAACGGGCAACAGATTCATCAACACAAGATAAAGGTGATGGCAGTTCCGCCTGAAGAGGTTGTGCTCTTGAACTCATTTTGAAATTAGATATATCCCATAAGTGCATAACAGTAAAAGTAGATTAGAGAATCATCCTGCCTGTGGCTGTTATCATTTCATGTATGTTTGTACTATGTTCGACTAATATCTTACTCTGAATGATGTTTTTCCAGACCTCTTAAATCCAAGTTTCAGTAATCATCCAGCACTTTCATGTTTGTCACTTCTCTCTTTGGGGCAATTCATGATTATACTGATTTATTTTTGTAATTTGTAGAAGTAAACCTAATAACCCATAGATATCTATTTAGATATGACTCAATTAGTTAGTACGTATATTTTCAACCAAGAAATCAGAAGTTTAGATGAATTTAAAAGTAAATTTTTGATGGGTGGAACGTATTGTTAAGATAGACCTAGTTTTACCGTGTTGAAAAAATTCAATCCACCGTTGAAATGTGTTCCGACCTCCGGTAAATAGGGGTTTGGAAATAACTATATCCAAAAAAAAGAAAGTGGTAAGTGGGGTATGATTCAAGTATAAAAGGAGTGAAATGCATGAAGTTGTATACAGTTGGAGAAGGAAAATAATCTGAAAGCATTGTTGTCCTTGGATAATATTGTGGCATAACACAGCGATGGTGATCTTGGAGCACGCCCTGTTCGGCACTTTCCCCCACGCAATTTCCATAATGCATAGAGCTGAACACACGGCCTTCTTCAAATGCTCTCCAACCCTCTTCTCCATAATGGTCCTCCAAATTCGGCCTTACGCCGTTTTTACCTTGAAAATGACGCCTGAATTCTTCCCCCAATACGCCTGCGACCAACTCCACTACGTTCAATTCAGCATCGACGACTTCTACATGACAATCGTGGAACAGCGAACCAATCGCTTTTCTTCCGTCACCCTCTCTATTGCGGAGCACCAACGCCATTTTGCCATGGAATTTTCCCCTCCTAGTAATTCATTCATTCATTCATTCATTCATTATATTCTTCCTTTCCATCAATCTTTGCTTTCTTGTTCTTCTTGTTTCTTTACATGTCTTTCTTCCAGGCCTCGTACATCCGAGGACCAAACTCATACCCACGTCGCCTCCTGAACGAGATATCAACGAGGGCGCAATTGACTATGCATCCTTTGTGTCCTTTGATTTGTTTCACTTTCGACGCCTTGTGACGGGTTTAGAGAATAATGAACATGGTAATTTTATCATCATTTTCATATTTCTTGAAACCAAAATGTTTCAACTTCTGAAAAGTAATCATTATTTGTGATTTCTGATAGCTTATCTCACTATTACCAATTCACAAATCAAGTTCTTGGTTGAAGATGTGGAGGTTGTTCTTACTACTCAGGTATTTTCTTCATTTCTTTTGGTTAGGAGTGTATGATATTGTCAATTTTGAGTATAAGCTGTCGTGGCTTTCCTTTTGATTTCCCCAAAATGCCTCATACCAATGTAGATGTCCTCCTCTCAAACAAAATATACCATAGAGTCTCTCCTGAGGCCTGTAGAGTCCTCGAACAGCCTCTCCTTAATTGAGGCTCGACCCTTTTCTCTGGAGCTCTCGAACAAAGTACACCATTTGTTCAACACTTTTTTACTATACTTTCAAGGGTCACAACTTCTTTGTTCGACATTTGAGTTTTCTATTAACATGACTAAATTAAGGACAAGACTTTAATATCATGTTAGGAATCAAGACTCTTCACAACGATATGATATTATTTATTTTTGAGTTTAAGTTCTTAATGGGTTTGCTTTTGGTTTCCACAAAAGACCTCATACCAGTGGAGATGTATTCTTTAATCGTAAATTCATGATCATTCCCTTAATTAGCCAATGTGAGATTTGTGCCCTAATGTTTTTGCAGAGGAAAGAATGCATAATCGGAGGTTTTGCAGCGGGAGATGAGTTTGAATCCGCAATGTGTCTGTGTCCATGGGAATTCTTCTATAATTTCACGTCGGAAAGATTATGGTTGTTCAAGTCATATGATCCAAAGGGTATGACACTCATTGCTCCTATGGGATTGTACGTTCACATTTCATCATATTTCCCCGAAGATTTCTATGTGCCAAATTTTTAATGTCAACTTACATTCTTTTTCTATGAATAATATGAAACGTGGATGAACAAAAATTGTTGTATATCTTTTTACCCTTTTAAATTTTCTAGATTTAAAATATATAGATCTCATAAATTTTGAAATTTAGTTCTTCCCATATTAAATCAAATCTTCAATCAAATCTTCTAAAAACTTATCAAGAATAAGTCAAGAAATAATTATGAACAACTAGTGAATGATAAAAAACTTCTGTAGTTTTTTTTTTTCTTATTTCATTTAGATTTTCAAAAGAGGTTAATGTCAATAGTGAATTTGATAAGATAAAAATGTATAGCTCAGCTACTTGCAAAATCTGATGTTCATGCACGTAACATGTCTTCCAAAATTTTGTTTAAGCGTTTAGTTTGACTATCTATTTATTGGTGAAATGTCGTACAAAACTCAAGTTATGTATTCAACATGGTGTAGTTGGGATCTCGATCTAATACTAAACTAATGACATTGGAATTTTGTTATCTATTAAATATGAATACTTTATTGGTTATAGATAAAAATTAAATTACCAATGAACTAAAAAACTTTTAAGTGAAGCAGCCGAAGAACTTCCAAATGCCCTTGTTGTTTGTCTTCTCCTCATCGCTTAACGGGTAGCTTCTCAAATACCTTTGCCTCGAATTGTTAATTGTATCGCTACTCCTCTGTGTTTCAATCCCAGATGAAGAAGAAGATGAAGATGCCATCTCTGTCATGTTCTTCTTTGTGCTTAGTGCTCGCAAAAATGTTGCATCTGCTTCTGCCCATTTCTGTTCCTTCGCAAGCTTTGCACTTTTCGACGCATTCCAATCCGTCATCGTGAAACGTTAATATCTTTCAAGATCAAATCTGAAAAGGAAAAGAAATACACTTTCCGAGATCGAGATTGGATTCGGTTTTCCAAAGTGTCTCGTAGTTCCTTACTTATAAATTCATGAACGTGGGACTATATTTTTTTTGGAGACTCACAACCTTTTTGTTCAATATTTGATGGTTCTATTAAAATGGTTAAGTTAAGATGAGGGTGTGACTCTGATACCGTCTTAGAAACAACGGCCCCCACGTAAATAAAATAATGGAAAAAAATAACAAAATTCTTTGCTTACCTTTTCATTGTATGGCTTCGAGTTCTTGAATCAGTAAAACTTTCCAGATTTCTCTACTAATTTGGTTTGGGAAGCCTCTTTTTATAACCCAAAGAAGAAGATCGAATGCTTTTCGTAGACGACCATGGATTTATTTCGTTAATAATAAAGTAATATCAGATAGATTCTTTATTGGATTCTATCTGATATTACGTGGGTTAGATATTATAATAATTTAATAATATATGAAATTTTTAAAAACTTTTTGCTGAATCTATCTAAGATTTGTAAAGATTAAAGAGTAATTTGAAACTAATATACAAAATTAAGTAATGAACACTAATCTATTTATTAAACCGAATAAGAGATCTCATTTATATATTCATTAAATAATAACCCATCATTTTGTTGCAAAACAATAACCTTGACTTTACCCTCTTTGGGTTTCATAGAGAAGAAGTTCATGTATGCTGTTGATTTGGTTCGGTTTAACCCTAGAAGGGCTCATTCATGCTTGGTTTTGTGACCGACCGTCATCGTTTAGTTCATGAACCCTCCCTTTGGTCTTTTCAATAGTACTGGTTGAGTTAGTGCGTGTTAAATCTCACGTCGGTTGGAGAGGGGAACGAAACATTCCTTGTAACTATGTGGAAACCTCTCTCAAGATCCCACGTCGGTTGTAGAGAGTGGGAACGGAACATTTCTCATAAGAGAGCGTGGAAATGTCTCCCAAGATGACACATGGGTTAGAGAGGGGGCGGTGAGTAACGAACCCAAAGAGATGGTAATTACTAGAGGTGGGGTTGGGCGGCTAAGGTGGGAGTTGAGGAGGGAGAAAATGGGTGAATGGGGAGGAGATAGGAGTGGAAGGATAATCCTATAAATTGGGCGAAAGAATAGGTCAAGAATAGTGTTTGTTATTTAAGGTTGTTTTGTTTTAGGTTGGGGGGTGTTGTTGGAGAATGGATGAGAAGTCGGTTCCTTATAATCTCCGACTGCGGAAGGATCACAAGGCGTCGGCTGCAACGGAGGGTTCGAAAGGTCAAAAGCAAGCAGAAAGGGAGTTTCAGGAAAAGGGAGGCGAAGAAGTGTTGTCATTATATGGATGTGACAAATGTGGATGCTCTTTTGATCTTCAACCCTCTCTTCGTTCGCACCATTGCAAAGTAATTAGTATTGTTATTATTATTCTTTCATTCATTCATTTATTTTATTATTGAAACAATTCATCTGTGCAGAGCAATAATAAAAGTGAGAGAGAGGCAACGGAAAATGAAGTGGAGGAAGCGTTGGGGAAGGACAAATCTCTGAGGAAAAGAACCAGGAAGGGAATACCCACACGGGCTCCTTTCTTCTAGATTATTATATTATTATTATTATTATTATTATTTTTAATCGGTACTAAAATTAATTAATTAAATATAAATCAAAATTTGTAAGGTTGGAATTTTAGTGCCTATATTAGTTATGGGGTAACTTTGTGTAGTAGAAAGTATCCCAATAATTAGTTACAGGGCTTGAAGAACCAAAAAGTGAGTTGGGCTCTGAAAGTTGGTTGATCCAAGAAAGAAAAGGGCCGAAGCCCAGATGAAGTAGCAAACACAAGGCCCAATGAAGTTGATGATTTTAAGTTTTTATAAAATATACGTGGATTTAATTGATCAATTAATTAATTAATTAATTAAATATAGGCAGGCTGGCCCATACAAAAAGGGTTCTTCTTTAATCTGGGCCCACCCGCCACAACAACAACAACAAGGCTGCAAAACAAAAGAAAGCTATTCCCTCTTATCTCTGCTTGGTTGGTTTGTTTGTTTGTTTTGTTTTGTGAACAGCCTGTCATCCCTCTTCTCTCCTCAAACCTTCATAATGTTTGGACCACAATTCCCATGTGGCCATCACCACCCCTTGCCCACTCTGCCACGTGGACCACCATACACATAAAACATTATCCTTTTTCTTCTTTTATGTCTCATATCTTTGCTTTTTTCTTTTTTTCTTTTTTTTTTTTTTAATTATTTCTATCTCCTCGTTTTCAATTCTCGTAATTCTATGCCCACAACGTCTTCGTCCACTCTCTTCGAGTTTCAACGGTCCATTTATATAGAGGAGCTAAAGCTACCGCTAACGAGAAGCGTAAAAGAGAGCTAGGCATCAAATGAGCGTTTGATTCCCATGTCCCAAGAACAAACCATCAACAAAATTAGCTCTCCATTAACCCTATAATTAACCAACTCCTTCTTAACATGTCATATTAATGGGGTTTTGACATGTTCCATTAGGATATCTAAAGGAGTGTGGTCCAAAAAGACTCCAAATTTTGGACTTATTGTGGCTTCAAACTGCCCTATCTTGGTTCATTTATGGTTTCAAAAAGAAAAAAAAGGACAAGTTCATATGTATGGTTTGTGAGATCCAAGTTTCTCTTTTAATGCAATTCGTTCCTTTGCCTTTTGCTCGATTGTGGTCCATCCTAATACAAACATCATTCAAGATTTCAAACTTCAAGTCGTGTTTAATTATGCAAACTAAACCTTTTTATTTTTTAAATCTATCAACGTTAGACCATAGATTTTTACCAATTTAAAGTCGCTACCGTCATTATAACCTATGCTCTTATACGGAATTAAATCTTTAAGACTTCATCATAAAACATAGGTTATCATGACGATAGCGAATTTGGGTTGGTAGAAATCTAGGGTCATTATAATTGGTATAAGAGATAAACACCAAGCAATGTGTAAGCGAGGAAGCTGAGCTCCGAAGGGGAATGGACACGAGGCAATGTGCAAGTAATGCATTGGGCCTCGAAAGGGGTGGATTGGGGTTCTCACATCGATTGGAGAATCAAACGAGTGTCAGAGGACTCTGGGCCATGAAGAAGAATGGATTGTAAGACCCACCACATCAATTGGGGAGGAGAACAAAACATTTTTTTTTGTAAGATCAAGTTCGAAAGGAAAAGTCAAAGACAATTTTTAGTAGCAACGAACTTGTTACACCCAAAAAAAAAAAAAAAAAAAAACTAGAATTGAATGATGAAAGGTTGAAGATTTTTGGTTGCTTTAAACATGGAGTAGTGTCGGTGATTGAAGCAAAATGATTGGTAAAGCTTTAACATCTCATTAGGTAAAGAGAGAGTAATTGATTTCTTTGGATGAGTTCTTAAGCAATCATGAGGAGTTGAACTAAATTGTTTCTTTACTTATGGTGTGTGTAAATTAGGTATCAAATTGCTCAAAATTCGATATTACTTTTTAAAATATTTTCAAATGTTACCCATCAAAGTTATTCGTTTTTGAAGCTCTAAAAAGTATTTTCAATATCAAGTTAAATTGAATTTTATTATATAATAATGTTTGATGTCTTCTACATTCATCAACTCATATAGTGTTAGATAACTCGATCAATTCGAACTATCCAACTCATTAGAATTGTTTTTAGAAAAACAAAAAATTTGGATCAGTTCGTGGGTTGACATTATTATGGTTAAGTCACTCAACTCAAATAAAAAATAGGATTATAACCTAACTCAATCCTACCCTAAAATTAAGATTATTATAAAGATTTAGAATAACTGACCATGGTAACCGATGTTAGTGTGTGAATGTTTGATATTTAAATTTTATTAGATTTATTTGTACTGTGCTAATTAAAAAAAAAAAAAAAGGGGGAAATTTAAAATTGAAATAATGGTATAGGAAGGGAATGAGAAGTAAAGAGAAGCTATCAAGTAGTTAGTGTTAACTTTGTGTACGAACCACGTGGCAAGCTTACCATGTGATAGTGAACCTTCAACAGACAGCCAACTACCAACTGTATTTGTGTCTTCAAAAATAAAAAGAATAAAAAATAAAAAATAAAAAAACTTTTTAGACTGTTTTATCAATCATAACATTTAAATTTTAACACCAAAGAATTTCACATGGAGAGGGGTACTTTAGTAATTTTACATGCTTAAATGAAAAAAAAAAAAAAAAAGAGTATTATTGCCATTTTGGGTGGAGTAAACTTCATCTTCAAATATTTATGAAGATTCATAGATGATTCTTCCTTTAGATTTTTTTTCTTTGATGGGTAGGAGCTCTATGGAGCCAATTTTAAAGAAGCATCATTGAAGAGTGGTCAATTTAGTGACCGAAGTTCGATCAACTTTAATGGAGGTTCTTACTCGGATTTTCTCTATCAAAATTTTCTCTCCATACTTTATTATTTTTCATGATCCTTCATTCAACTTTCATGAAGCAATCAAAATGAGATTCGATTAAAATTTACATGAAATAACGGAAATAAAGTAAGAAAAAAAATTAAAAATTAAAATTTCATGTGTAACTCGAAAATAAAAGAAAATAGAAAGGAAGAAGATGAGTCGAGTGCAGCGATGATTTCAAGTATTAGTAAGATAGCATTCTCTAGCAGGAAGTACATCCACCGTTGGGGATATATATATATATATATATATTATATATATATATGTTATTTACCATGTAATGATCATAAATTTTTACTTATCTAGAGTCATTATTGCAAAAATAAGCATTTAAACTCTTTCATAAAGCATAAATTTCATCTTAAAACATAGTCGTAGATTTATATGTTCGAAAACATCTTTAAAACGACACAACAATAAACTAAATGAAATAAATAAATATTCAAATTAAAAACATCCTAGTCTACGAAGTGTAAAAAAATAAATACAACTACCCTATGCATGTGTCATAGTCTCGAGTTGCGTTGTCGTCGTTAGCCGTACATGGATATCTTGCTTTACCTGAAATAGAAGTAGCATGTGGCTTGAGTATTTTAAGAAATACTCAGGAAGTGACCCCATTATTAGGGTTAGATGCAAACACATGAATGAGACCTATCATATCAGTCTATATTCTTTAGGCGGCTATCCTAAACGGGCTAATTGAATGTGTATTTACTGTTCTGCACACAGTCCATATATGCGAGTATGGACCCACCAGTTAGTTCGCACACCTCTTGAGCCTCTTTCTTGTCAGACAAGCATTCTCTGATAGCTGTTAATGTCGGACACCCATTTAGGAATAGCGACCATCGCAGCATTATGATAAATATAATGATCACAACAGCTCTACTCACATCTCTAAGATGTAACTCCTTGCTTGCCTAAAAGTTTAAAGAATATATTATTATATAATGAGAGAAACATGGTAAATAGAGTTAATCATAATATCTCTAAGATTCCTGTACACGAAGAGTCAAGCTCCGTAGAATAAAAAGTATGTACCAAGATCAAGATAGGAGCAAACTAGAACCACGAATGATAATAAAGAGAAGTTATGATGATAATACAATAAAAGGCATGAGTAAGAACTAATGATAATATAGTGCTCATAGTTATTCTATGTAGCATGGTCGAGGAGAGGTGTGAAATGAGCTCCAAGGTGGCTAGACATATCAAAGTGGCTATAAGAGGTTAGTAAGAGCTAACTATGATAACTCAAACTAAGGATATGAGCTACCCGGTTAGTAAGAGCTAACTATGATAATTGAAACTAAGGATGAAAGGTGATTATGGAATGGAATTCACGTTATAAACTCAAGTGAATTAAAAGATGCTAAAAGGGGAGGTTCAATGGTCTCTTAGGTTTAACTCAAATAGAATAACTGAACTTTACTATTGGTCTTTAGTTAGAATTGTGTGATATATGTAGATCTTTATAAATAATGTATTTCTATAAGTTTATAAACGAGTTACTTATCGAGTATATTTAAATATTCCGTCATGCTGCTCTTTCTTCCTTGCAGATCGATCCCAAGACACTAGTTGGTTGGTGACGATGGAGTCATGTTTTGACCTAACGTTTCTATTGCCTTTTAACATGTTAAGAAAAGAGATTTTTAATTCATGTTCTTTGCACATTTCTATCCAGTTTTTGATGAGTATAATTTTTATGGGATCCTCAGTGTTGTTTTACGGATTTGCTTCTTATTACCATTTTAAAGCTAACTCTTTTTATTTAATTTCAAGTAGTAACTCTTCTCGTGTCTAGAGAGGTCGAGTCATGACAATTATATTTCAAATTTAAACCAATAATGTTGCAATATTAAATTTTAAACTTGAGAAGGGGTTGCAATTTTTATCCTCAAAATTAGTTTTCATTGGAAATTCTTAAAAAAAAAAAAATCATTTCAATATGCTTTCAAAGAATCATAAGCTACAATGATACAAATTTGATGGTGTTTTAAAAAAATAACATTTCAACTAAATCAAATTAAAGTTGGTGTAAATTTTGATATTCTAGAAATTAATGAATACAAATATTTTAGCGGTTCTTTTTAATTAAAAATAATAAAGTAAACTATTAAAACATTTAATAAATTATAAAAATTTGGTTGAAAGGA